CGAAGAGCAGCGTCCGAGTCAGGCGCTGCCCGTTGAAGGCGGAGCGAGGCCAAGCTTCGGGAAAAAGTGGAACTGGCACGTGGGCTCGTGCCACGCCTCACCCGCACGCGCAAACGGGCGGGCGGGGCCGTCGGCAAGCCTCGGGATCGCCGGCGCCCCCTGCCCACCCGTCATCGGGGCTCGCGCGCTGGCCAGGGCCCCGTCGCGGAACCGCAGCTGCACCGTGGAGGGTATGCCCTGGCAGGGCCCGAGAAGCGTGCGCCAGCTCGGCGCCTCGATGCGGGCGTAGGCGCCACACCAACGACCGAGCAAGCACTTGCCAGCAGCCCGACCTCGGTGCTCGAGAAGCTCAAACACCTCGGGGGGCTTCACAGCCTGTGGCCCCTGCGCATCAAAGCCGAGGGCGATCAAGGCCGGGCGGTCCTCGGCGCTGCGCGCCCTCCGACGGACGCCTCCGTGCCGCTCCGCTCGGACTGCCGCCAAAAACAGGCGAAGGGCGGTGGGCTCGCACTCCGCGCCAGGCTCTCGAACTTGGCCCCACTCGATGCAGTCTGGGCCGAACAGTGGCACCACGTGCACCCGACGCCGCCCCAGGGACTTCCCCGGGGCCGTGAGGAAGCACAACGAGTGGGGCCGTGGGTGTTTTCGGCCGAGCCGGCGGCCGCGGCTCAGGGACCGACGATCTGGCCACGAAGGGTGTCGCCCGCGGCACGAGATCAGAGTTTCGCTCAGCTTCGGTGCTGTCAGACCGCACGGCTTCTGCAGAAGCGTCTGCTGCTGTGATCTGGCCCGCGCCCAGCGTGGCAGGAAAATACGCCCAGGCGTTCCCGAGGAGATCGCAGGCACGGGGCACCCCCACCCCATCCGAAAACAGTTGGCTGCCCAGCACCTCATCAAGACCTCCTCGAGCTGGGGCCCAGCGGCCCGATGTGGCTGCTCCCGCTTGCCCTCGGAAAGCCAAAGCATTGGTCGCCATACGCTCGCGTGCCTGTGGGCTCCTGAGCCGAGGCTCGCGTCCCAGCTCCGGCCTTCCTGCACCGCAGAGAGGTGGTGGTCCGAAACAATCTCTGCCCCCCAGGGGGTCCTTCAGAGGGTCTCGAGGAAGGCCTGACGTTCGGCCAGTGGTACTGTTTGGCACCGTCCCACGAGGCCCCCGTACAGGGCCCTGATCGGCCAGCCTCGGGCCGAGAGCTCGACCACGGACCACCCGCAACGGGCCGCTTCGGGAACCCCGTTTGCTTGGCCAGATCCATGTAGACTCGCGTCCCCCGCTGAAGGCGAGTGGCCCCCCAGGAAAACACAGACCACACTGCTGGGACTGGCCCTAGCTCGACAGGGAGGTAGGGCAAACTGTAAGGCAGCTCAACCGAGTCGAAGTCGGGGGGCACACCTTTAGCCGAGTCCTTCGGCAGTTGCCTCCTCTCGAAACACTCGTTTGGCAGGGCTTGGGCCGCCTCAGGAGCATTCCTTTGCAGCCAGACGTCTTCACATTCATACCAGTCGTGACCGAACGTGCCCGCCGTCTGCGTACAGAATCGGCATTTGTCCAGCTCGGCCAGGGCGGCCGCGAACTTGCGCGCTGGCGGCCAGAGTCCCCCTCGGACTGGCCAGTGCCTTCAAAGTAGCACGCCGCGCAGGATCTCGCACCGAATTGACTCCGATACGCAGCGCTCGACCCCATGCGACTTCATCGCCTGAGGCTTGCGGGACGGCTTACACCATCTGTACCATCTGCGCCCTACTGATGCCGTCCTCTCAACGGCGTTTCACATCGCAGGGTGAAGCCGAACAAAGGGACAGCACATCTCCTAAGTCAGTCCCAATCAGGTGTGGGCCCACGAGGTCCCACCCAACGCGTTTCAAACGCAAAATGACGGCTCCGGCAGGGTCTTGAACTTGAGTCCAGTATGGTTTCTCGGCCAGGCGCGAGTACGCACATTCCCAAGCTTTGCTGCAGGTCGGAGTCTGCAGCACGTGTGTCCCGTACCCGGCAGCAACATCGAATCACTAGCGGCACCGTGGCATCTACAACTGCACCGCAGTCGGCGTCACGATAGGTGCTCAGATAAACAGCCACGCGCACACGGCCCTTCGCACCCATGATCTCCGCCGCTATTCTAGCCCTTTAGCTTCGCGGGGCCTGGTCTGGAAGCCCCGACACGGCGGCCCCGCAGGCCCCGCTTGGCAAGAGCCCAGCCCGCCAGAGTGCGGCCTGTTGGGCCCTCCGCGGCCTTCTTCCGTTCCCGAGGCTTGGCCCTTCGCCTTTGGAGCTTTTGGACCCTAGCGTTGCGGAGCACTCGCCGCCCGGACAGATCAAGCCCCAAGTGGTGCAGATGTTTCGTGCTCTCTAGCCGTATCTTGCGCACGGTGAGCTGAACCTTTTTCTCAGCCGCGAGCGTGCGAGAGAAATGCCCAGACTTGTCCGGCTGCAAAAGACGGCCAAGGAGCAAGAGGAAAAGGAGGAGGAGGAGGAGGAGAGGAGGAGGAGGAGGAGGATTTGTCTTGGGTATTGTGCTGACGTCTGTAAATTCGAGTTGTGCCGCGAGCCCAGCCCCGCAGTGTGGCTACGTTCCTTCCGTTCGTTCAAGTGGCCGAATTCCCAGGCCGTGCTCGCAACTGAAAACGACTCACAGCCGAGGCGAAAATAAAACGTTCGGTTTCTGAACAGTCGGTTTCGGAGGCAAATCGTGGGAGCCTGGCATATTCTCCTAATTCAGTATTTAACGTCGACTAGCGTCGATTAGCGTCTGGAGTCGATGACACAGCGCCGATTTAGCATCGGTTATCGTTGATTAGCGTCGATCTAGCGTCGATTAGCGTCGATTTAGCGTCCACTAGCGTCGATTCGCAAGAGCTGGCAAGATGGTATGGGAGGCTTCCATGAGTTGCCACCGAAGTCGGTGTTGTGCTTGCTCGTTCCATGGCCATCGCGACATCCTGACGCATGTCCCATATTATTCCTCACGGAACGCCCGCGTCGTATGATAAGGTTGTCCACCGTGTTTTCGGCGCTCGTCAATGAAATTCATCTTCGTTGGACCGGCGTGACGTCACGTCGTGGCGCGCTTGTCTCGGAGTCGTCGTTTGATATTTATGCCAGCCCATGTACGATACTCATGTATCATTTGTTACATGTTTACGCATGTCATGTTTGCATCGTCAAGTTGCCAGGATCATTGTTGCTACCAGCCGTCGCCCTTCGCTGTGTGTTAAGGAGCTCGATGATAATGATGATGCTGATGCTGATGCTGATGCTGATACTGCTGCTGATGATGATGCTGCTGCTGCTGCTGCTGATGATGATGATGATGATGATGATGATGATGATGATGATGATGATGATGATAATGATGGTGATGCAGTGCTGGAAGCATCCAGGCCCGTCCGGAGCTGAAGGAAGCCCGAAAGTGCGAATATTGCACGTTTGAAGATCCTCCTCCTCCTCCTCCTCCTCCTCCTCCTCCTCCTCCTCGTCCTCCTCCTCCTCCTCCTCCTCCTCCTCCTCCTCCCCCCCGAAGAGCAATCAGTGTGTTGGGCCTCTTCGGGCCCAATTGGGCGCCCTCTTTTGACCTGGTTGGGCCGCCTCGGGGCCGTGTTCGGCCGCCTCGGGGCCTTCTTGAGCCGTCTTGGGGCCAGCTCGGTGGCCTCGGTTGCCTGCCCTGGCCAGCTTGGAAGCTCACGAGCGCGAATCCATGGTTTTACGCTGGGTCGTGGCCTCGGAAGCGCGGATCGATCGTTTCTTCCATATGTGTGTATATACCTATATACATATAATGGATGAGTCGTGGCGCCAGGAGCGCGGATCAATAGGATTTGTCATTCATCGTCGCCGCGGGAGTGCAGATCTCTGCGGCTAGTCCTTGTCAGGCAGGCGTGGCTTCGCGGCGCCCGCCCGTCATGTTGTTGATGTAGTGGCATCGTCCCGCTTGTGTGTCGCAGTGTGTTGTCTGTGTGGTTCTGACGTGTCAGTGTTGCGCTGGATTGTCCAGGGCCAGCGTGACGTCGCGACGTGAGTCGTGTTCGAGCAGTGTCTCCCTCCGTTTACGTACACCTGTGTGCACTATCGCGCGTACGTAGTGTTGCTTTATTGTAAGGTGGTTCCTGAAGTCGAGTACTTGTTCATGTCAAGTGTATGTTCCACGTTTGCCGACCATGCCGTACGCCCGGTGTGTGCACATGTGGCCCGCATGTCTTGTATTTACGCGTGATCCAGTCCGTCATGTTCAGACAGTGTCCACATCAATGCACGAATCGCCCTTGGCGCACGCATCTTGTTCGTGCCTGTTGTGCAAACTCCAATTGGTAGGTTTTACGCAGGTCTCTTGAGGACGCCTGCCATGTACCTTTGCTATGTTCGTCGGGTACGTACGCATGTTGTGTGTTAATCATGCGTGATGTTCGTGCCTTGGCGTTTGTTCCTATGCTTGATAATGTTGCTGTCAGTCGTCGGGGGCGCGAGGCGGGAGACCTTGGAATCACCAGTATACTTTGTGCATGGCGGCCGCGGTCACCTGCTAGTACCGTCGTCGGTCGTCGAGGACGCGAGGCGGGATATCCAGGGAGTGCGCAGGCCATCGCCAAATAATAGTCAGAACTAGTTCGTAGGCGCCCAGACCTTTCAGATCCCCCCCCGTACAACGTCAGCCGCTTATGATGTGGGACTCGGTGATGCCCCCAGGCGGCTACTCGGACGCATCCTTATCCAGGATGGATCCACCCCGAGTTGTGCTTCAAAATTTCAGTCCGTCGAAGAGCCTGGTAAGTCGGAGGGATAACCGAACCTCTTGCTACTGGACAGGTTATTTGAGAGGCGGTCAGGTTCGGGCCAGCAGTTCGACTTAGCTTCAAGCGCAGGAAGTTGAGCGGCAGTCTGTTGCATACCGTTCAAGGTGCGCGTGCGGTTTGTTCGCGATACGCTCAGCGCTTGTGCTTGTTCAAGTCTGAATTCGAGGGGTCGCGGATTCGCTAGACCGCGCTAGTTGCACTGTGTTTTTTTCTCACGGGTTCATCCCTGAAGCGGGCTGAGCCCTTTGTTCAAGTGTCCGCGATCGCACAGGGCACTTTTGAGTGATCTTATCTCCTGGCCCTGGAAGAACTTAGTGAACCTTATTGCCACATTCATCTGTCAATGCCCCCCCAATGATCGATGTTGGCGGCGGGTTGAAAGAATTGCATTTCGACCGCAGTCTTCCCCCCGCGTGCCAACTTTGAATTCGGGGGAGAGGGGGAGTCTCCACGAATTGTTTCCCGCTGCCATAGTTTAAGCAATTGTCTGGGATCCCCCTTATCACTGCAGGGGTGTGATTGGGGAGAGCAGGGTGGGCGGGAGGGAGGAGCAGGGCAGAGCGCCGGCAGAATGCCGGCCAGGAGGAGGAGCATGAACAGCAGCAGCAGGAGGGAAGCCGCGAGAGGAGGGGGAGTAGGGGGAAGGAGGGAGGAGGGATCGTCATCTTATGGGGCTTTCTTGGGGTGGCCTGATCGGGGTCCGACAACCATTGAGCCCACGCAGCCTGCTCCTTGCAAAGGTCGAACTGATGGGCCTTGGCAACTTCTTTTTCCGCTTGGATCGCCATTCCCTCCAGCACAGGAACAGGCACAACGGGAGGAATAGGGGGAGGAGGAGGGGGAGGAAGAGGACGAGGAAGAGGAGGAGGAGGAGGAGGAAGGAGGAGGAGGAGGAAGGGAGGAGGAGGAGGAAACGGAGAAAGAGGAGGAGGAGGAGGAGGAGGAGGAAAAGGAAGAGGAGGAAGGGAAGGGAAGGCAGAGTGGAAGGGGAGGCGGAGGCAAGGAGGAGGGGGGGGGTATGGTGGGAGGAGGGGGAGGAGGAGGAGGAGAGGAGGGAGGAGGAGGAGGAGGAGGAAGAGGAGAAGAAGAGGAGGAGGAAGGGAAGGGAAGCAATGTGCATGGGGAGGCGGAGGCAAGGAGGAGGGGGGGGGGATGGTGGGAGGAGGAGAGGAAAAGGAGAAGGAGGAGGAGAAGGAGGAGGAGGAGGAAAGGAGAGGAGGAGGGAGGGGGGAAGGGGAGGAGAGGAGGAGGAGGAGGAGGAAGAGGACGAGGAGGATGAGGAGGAAGAGGAGGAGGAAAAGGAGAAAGAGGAGGAGGAAGGAGGAGAAAAGAGGAAGAGGAAGAGGAGAGAGGAGGAGGAGGAGGAAGGGAAGGGAAGGCAACGAGAGGGGGGGGGGGGATGGTGGGAGGAGGAGGAGGAGAAGAGGAGGAGGAGGCGGAGGAGGAAGAGGAAGAGGAAGAGGAAGAGGAGGAGGAAGGGAAGGGAAGGCAACGAGGAGGGGGGGGGATGGTGGTAGGGGAGGAGGAGGAGAAGAGGAGGAGGAGGCGGAGGAGGAAGAGGAAGAGGGAGGAGGGAGGGAAGGAAGGCCATGTGGAGGGGAGGCGGAGACAACGAGGAGGGGAGGGGGGGGGAGGAGGAGGAGGAGGAGGAGGAGGAGGAGGAGGAGGAGGAGGAGGAGGAGGAGGAGGAGGAGAAGATGGGGACGGCAGGGAGGAGGAAGGACGGGGGCCGGACGACCGAGGGAAAAGGCGTGTGCTAATGGGAGGGAAGAGCGGGGGAAGACGCTGGTCGTCGGTGCGTTTTCGACGAAAGAAACCCACCCCGACCCATAAAACGGGCGCTTAGTAAGTAGTCGTCGGCGTGCACGATGTAATCTTGCCATGGTCGAGTCCCCCGGCGCGTGTGTCAGACGGCCTGATTTGCAAGCGTGTTTCTTGTGAGGGTGGCTCTTCTGGCCTGTGCACTTGTCATCGTGCACGTGGGTCGGGCTGGTACGGTACACGTCCTATCCCTTCGCTGTCGAAATTTCGGTTCGCTTGCGTTATGTTTCGTCGTCCGAGTTGCGCAAGCAGTGTAGCCAGAATTCTTGCCATCTTTTGGGTATCGACCGCTCCCACCACCGTGCTGGAGTGGTTGACGAGCGGTCGTTTAAAAGCCTTTGGGAGCCTCCTGGGCACCTCATCGCGGTTTTCGCGGAGACCTCTTGGGGGCCCAGGGAGGCCTCCCAGGGGGGCGTTTCGGTGTATCTGGGGGTGTCTTTGGGGGGCTCTCATTGGCCCCATCCGAGGTCCATCTTTTTTGGCCTCTCGTGGGCGCCTGTAGGGCCCAGTGAGTTTTTGCGACAGGATCCTCTTAATGCCGAGACGTCGAAGATTTGCAAATCGCATGACGATTTCGCTTTCGCTCTCTTGGAGTGGCCTCCATTCATCGTCAGGGATGCACGGCGTACGGCAGTGCGGACCCCCATCGCGCTCCCGAGGCCTTTGGGAAAGGCATGCTGGCCGCCTTGGAAGCGCGCAATACATCGCGCCGAGGAGCGCCTTGGACTTCAAGCAAGTTGAAATTGAGGCCCTTCCCCCAGGAGTAGTGCAGCATTCGTTCAATGCTGAGTTTGCGACTGCAGCCGATTACCCTCCACGCAGTTCCTAGGGCAGGGGGACAGGTTTCTTGGTGCTAGATACTGATGCACTCCCACCCCACGTAGACAGGTTCTCTCCGCCACCGGTGGCGGCGGATCACTCATGCTCCACGCTTACATCACGCTTGAGGCGCGTGGGAAGCGGTCGCAACTCGTTGACCAAGCGATTTCTGCAGAACGGCTCGCTGCACGTGCATTGTACGTGCGCGGGAGGTCCTTGCCCCTGTGTGTACGTACGAGCCATCGTGCCCGTTACTCGTTGGCTGCGCCTCGAGCAAATCACGCCAGGTTTCAATAGGGGGCGTTGGACGTGAGGGGTGCGTTGGAAACACGTTGCGTTTGCAGCTGTTTCCAAGGCCTTGCTGTGCAGAATTACGCGCTCTGGGCTGCGCATCGGAGAAACAAGAGCCACCTCTGCCCTGCGACGCCTCCACAAACAAGTAACTACAGACGCCCTCCAGTGGGTTGCTTTTGGGTCTCATGGGGGGATGGCGGTGTTGCAATGACCACTAAGAGCTTGCGAACTTTACACCGCCACCCTCACGTGATGGCACAGAGAAAACTCGTCGGCGGGCGCTTGTGTATACAGTCAAAACTGATAGTAAGGATGATTGACTTCCCAAGGGTACCCTTGCATCCTTGCCTCTTCGGTAATATTCGGTCCATCCTCAACCACTTTCGACGGCCCGTCGCGCTCGAAGCGTTTCGACATGGGCGTCCAAGGCCCGCGCATCCCTATCGCGCATCCGTGCTAGCAGTTTTGACTGCATGTTTCCATGGCGCAGCGATGCCTCACGCCTCCCTTGGGCGCCTCCGTCGCGGCCTTCGTCAGCTTGAAGCCTGCGGAAGGAATAGGAGGCCTCCCCCCCCTTCCCTCCTGGCCCCCCCCTCGGCCCCCCTCGGAGAGGGGCCGGGGCCTCCCAAGGCAACGCAGACGAGGGCGACGTACCCATACTGCCACCCTTTGCCCGCTTCCCTCTTTCACGGCCTCCTGGGAGGCCTTCGCCGCCACCGCTGGATTCGCCTCGACATCCTGGTCCGAACGCACCCCTGGAGAGGTCTGGGGAGTAGTGGTATCGGTACCTTGAGGTTTCCCCAATATGGGAATGAGGACTAGGAGGAGGAGGAGGGGGAGGAGGTGGGGAGGATCCGATGAGAAGGAGGAGGAGGAGGAGAAGGAGGAGGAGGAGGAACCTTGCCTTTTGGTATCCCAGCACGGGCCCCTCCCGTCAGGCCTGTCTTTGTCTCTTCAACCCTCTCGTGGGTCCCGGGCGGCCGTCGGCGGAGCGACCTGCGCGCCGCCCAGCCGACTCCTCGAGAGCACGAGCACGGCCAGGCGCCCACGCCAACGTTCGATCGACCTCCATCGGGCCCGCAGTCGAGCGCTGCATAATGGGGGGGGAGGAGGAGGAGGAGGAGGAGGAGGAGGAGGAGGAGGGAGGATGAGGAGGAGGGGAGGAGGGAGGAGGAGGAGAGAGGAGGCGAGGAGGAGGAGGAGGAGGAGGAGGAGGAGGGAGGAGGTAGGAGAGGAGGAGGAGGAGGAGGAGGGAGGAGGAGGAAGGAGGAGGAGGAGGAGGAGGCGAGGAGGGGAGGAGGAGGGGAGGGAGGAGGAGGAGGAGGAGGAGGGAGGAGGAGGAGGAGGAGGAGGGAGGAGGATGAGGAGGAGGAGGAGGAGGGATGGAGGAGGAGGAGGGAGGAGGAGGCGGAGGAGGAGGAGGAGGTGGAGGAGGATAGGAGGAGGAGAGGGAGGAGGAGGAGGAGGAGGAGGAGTGGAGGAGGAGGAGGAGGAGGAGGAGGTGGAGGAGGAGGAGGAGGCGGGGAGGAGGAGGAGGAGGAGGGAGGCGGAGGAGGAGGAGGAGGAGGAGGAGAGGAGGAGGAGGAGGAGGAGGAGGAGGAGTGGAGGAGGAGGAGGAGGAGGAGGAGCACAAGCAGCAAGAGGAGGGGAGGAGGCGGAGGTAGAAGGAGGAGGAAGGAGGAGGAGGAACAGCAGCAGGAGAGGAGGAGGAGGAGGAGGAGGGGAAGGAGGAGGGGGGAGGAGGAGGAGGAGATGGGGAGGAGGAGAAGGAGGAGGAGGAAAAGGAGGAGGGCACCCTTTTGCAATTACCCAAAAAGGCCCCCTGGGGCACCAAAGGGTCGCTTGAGGTACACGTTTCTTCGACCCGCTCGTTCATCGCCTGCCCATCAAGCAACGCCCAACGCGGGCTCCGCGTCTCGCAAATATCGAAACATCATTGGGCACGCGAGCCGCAGAGAAGCGCGGCGCCAAACGTCGTCAGGCATGATGTTGAGGAGAGGCGCGCACTCGGCCTGGAAGATCGCCCTGCCCCTATGATCGCCTCATTCCTACGACGATCCTGAGGGCCCTTTCCGCGACTGAGGGCGCGCCCCCAAGCTTGCCATCGCCTTGGGGCTTGCCAATCTTGAGGCTAGTCAGGCACGGCCTCGGCCCAGGTTGCGAGAGCGCGCCCCCTCGTGCACCCCCCTGCGGCCCGCGAGCGCGCGCCCTCCAATGGCCTCTCACGTCGCGAGATCGCGCCCCCCGCCGTGGACCCCCCTGCGGCCCGCCAGCGCGCGCCCTCCAAGCCCACGCCCCCGACGTCATGATTTTGTCATGATGTCAGCCCCCAGAGGCTTCAACCTATTCCATGGGACTGGTTCTTCATCCTGAGTCGTTTTGACGTGCCCGAGGCGCGGCAAGGGCCCCCGGAGGCCGAAGATGATGAAGACCTCCCGTCGTGATGTTTTCATTGCTCGAGTAGGGGATCGACTATCATGACCTAAGTTGCGAACAAATTTGAGTTCCCACCTTCATACCTTGAACTTGTTTCCGCGGATTCGGCCCCCATATCCGCCACCGTGCCTCTGGCACGAAATGGAATGCCACAAGGCTCATGCAGTGCTGCTGCAGCAGGAACTTTCAGAATTGATGCACCTCAAAAATGGCTTTTTGTTCGAGTCGTACGTAGAATGTCCGGAGATCTGCGGACATTCCACGCGTGTCTCATGGATTCGGCGAGCATGTCCGTTCTGGGGTAAACCACTCCTGTGGTCGACCCCTACTCGACTTACTGGGGGGGGCCTGGGAGGGCAGGTCGCGTCGCGAGAGCGTGCCCCCTCGTGGTCCTCCCTGTGGGCCCGCGAGCGCGCGCCCTCCGAGGGCGGAGCACCTCGCGGCGCTGCCGCGGCTCCCGCGGGGGTGGGCCTCGGCGTGCACGGCGCGGTTTTCCCGGGGGGCCTCGCCGTGCCGGACGGCGCGGGCAGCCCCCGCAGCTCGACTCTAGGCTTAAGTCGGGCCTGTCTTTCTACAGGAGGAATGTACAAACATATGTTATATGTATATATACATATATAGAGAGAAAAGTATGGTGTGTTTATCGGATTGTCGGGCATAGTTTGATATGTTGCGTATTTTTTTGGCATTAAAGATCTTCCCAAATCCCCGTGTACTGGAATGAATGGCCCGATTGCTAAGTAGTTCTGCCAGTTAGACGTCTTTACAATGTAGACACACGCTGCTTATGGCCAAGCCATACATAAGTTATGACCTCCATATCACGATTGGAAGGTGGCTACGTTGGCGGCCCCCATGGGCTAAGTACATGGTGCGGTTAGCCGGTGGTGCACAACCCAAACGGCGAGTTGTGATCTTAGTTTGCTCGTATTTACGAACCTGGTTAGGCAGCCGGCGAACCTACTTACGCAATCACCGACTAACCTACTTAGCGAACCCGTGAACCAGGTTACGAAGCAGGTTATCACCCCCGAGCTAAGTAGGTTATATATGGAGATATTGGAGGTCGTCGGGGCAAATGTTGATGGGCGTGGCACAGATTTCGAGTTCCCAGAGGTCTACAACCACGATCAACACGCTACGATTTGGAAGAGAAACAAGCCATGTTCGCTCAAGCACGCTTCGGACTCAACCAGCATTGCTGCTCCTCCTCTCGCAGTCGCCCCGCGGAATTCTGAGCATGGCCAAGGCATGCGACCTCAAAGTTTCAGGGGATGGCCAAACACTTGGAACAGGTTACTGGCGCGATCAACGCCATCATTTCGAAATTCCGGAATGGAGAGCAGTCGGAGGTGCGATCGCAGTTTGACAGCATCAGGGCAACCCTTCTGGAACACAAGTCAGAGCCCCGAATCATCAGGGGCAACTCGGGCCAGGGATAACTCGGGTTCGTTTTTCGGGAGTCCGAACCCGAGTTATCCCGGACCCGAGTTACCCCGGATAACTCGGGCGCCCAGAGCCCCCGAATCATCAGGGGTAACTCGGGTCAGGGCTAACTCGGGTTCGTTTTTCGGGAACCCAAACCCGAGTTACCCCGGACCCGAGTTACCCCGGATAACTCGGGCGCCCAAACAAGCTTGCGCACTACATTCAGCCTCGCCCCGACGAGTGCGGCGTGCACCCCCACAGTCGAGATGCGATGGGGTTGGGCTTTGCTGCAGTTCAACACCTGGCCAAGCACATCCGCCAGCTGGGCGGGGCGCGCATGGGATTTCGTCGGCCACTTGCTCCGAGAGCGGGCGCGGCAAGGCACGTGACAAGGTCAAGGATTTCAAGAATTGGTGGCAGATCTCCCCGGCGGCTCCATTCCACTCTTCGGCGACGGTCAGGTCGCGAAGTGCGCCGCAGTTGCTTCTAGCCGCGCGATGGCGCTCATCCGCGCTATGCGGTCAGCGGGTAAATGCACGGACCGACATTATGCGCTCTGAAAGGGGGGGGGAGGGAAGGGGGCGCCGCCCCCTTCCTAGGCGCCCATCCCCTTTCGACACCCAAATTCGAGTTGGCTTGCATTTGCACTGGCGCAGGCACGGCGGTAAATGGCGCATTCAACGCAGAGAAAGTGCTGCAAGTCTGCCTGTCTTTGAGGTGCCCCATCGAGAACGGCGCCAGGTTGTGCTGCGTCCGCCGCGAAGTGGAACTCGCGCGCCCTGGTTTGCCAGACTTCATCCACGCGCGCGGCAACATTGGCAGCGTTACGCGCCGGCCAGCCACTAAGCTACAAGCGATGAAGCCACTGCACTCTAACTTGAAATTCTTCGAGGGCACGCAGTTGGCGCCTGAGCAACAGAAAGCAGAAGCCGCCGAAGCCGCGGAACACTCCTGCACCCACTTCCAGGGCGAGGTTGGAGTCATGGCCGATTTCGTGATCCTGTATAGCGGTGGAAACGACCTCCCCCCCCCCCCCCCCCCCCCATTTCTGAAACGACTTTTCCACGTGGGACGGAACGCTGGCCTGGGGCAATGAGACCCCGATTCAGCTATTCAAGATTCTGGGCGAGCTGGCTTTGAAGCAGGGCTCAGAATACATGGTATCCATCCTGAAGGCCTCGATGGCTGCGCCAGCAACCTTCGCGAAGCAGGGCGCGGCCCAGGTGGTTGCGAGCTTTGACCTGGCTCGCATCGGGAAGGTCGGCGACCTGAAGTATTTCGCGGTCCAGAAGATGTGCGGCTGCCTCCGCAGCGCTAAGGAATGGCTGGATACGATGACCAGCCATGCGAGTAAGGCCCAGCAGTCTCGCACCCTGGGCAGTTCCGAGGTCAACAGCGCGATGCGCATCCACAAGAAACGAGTTGCTGGACGGCGAGAGTACAAGAACGTTGACGAGATCTCGGGCAAGCCACCGGAGGGCGCACTCGGTCTCCACCCCGACGCTCGTAACCGGGAGCTTCCATGGAGCTACGCCGCAACTGCATCATCAGCCCCTGCGCCATGCACCTCAGTTCCATGCCAAATGCGTGAGTGCACCTCGTCATCCAACTTGACTTCCACGCTGCTGACTTCCATGGGCATCAAGATCGGTTCCGAGGCGGCGGCCAGGGGCGGCGACTTCAAGAGCGTCTTCTCGATCAAGGGGCCCACTGACACGGGCGCCTTGCTGACCCAGCCCAGCAAGGCCACGGGCAGGGGCAGGGCGGCGCAGGAGACCACCACGGCCCCCATTGCAAAATTCGCGGACGAGTGGAAGGCTGGGGGGGGGGGCGCCGCTTCAGCGCGCGCTCACGCCTACTTGTTCGTGGATTGGCATGCGTTTAGGCTAGCAATTACTGCGTGTATGTGCCATGCAAGTGTCGGGGGAGGTTAGGTCGGCTTTCCCGGGGCCCTAAAGGTATTTTCTTCGCGAACGTCCACTTCGGGGGTCGTCGGATGGCGCGAGCCTCTTGCGTGTTTTTTTTGTTGCTGTCATCCTCTTCCCCCATCCGCCGCTTTCGTCGCCGTGGCCCCCCCTCCCCCCGCCCGCCGCCCGAGGGGCTGCAGGCGTCGGCGCGGCCCTGGCCGTCGGCGCGCCGCCGCCCTCGGCCGCCCGGGATTGAGAGGGCATGGGGGGGGGGGGGGGCGAGAGAGGCGACGAGCGCGGAAAACAGGAGGGGCGAGGAGATCGGAGCAGGGGTGCGAGGAAAATCAAGGAGGAGACCGGGGGCAGGAGGCAAATTGCCATGGGATCTGCAACGGCTGTTTCTGCAAGTTTTCCACGCAAAACCAACGGCAAGCTGGGGGGGCTGAGGGGGGGGGGGGGAGGGGGGAGGGGGGGGGGGGGGGTCTAGTGAGGAGGAGGAGTAAGAGGAATCACGGGATTCGGAGTAGCTCCGCGTTGGAGGAGGAGGAAGGGAAGGAGGGGGAGGAGGAGGGGGAGGGGGAGGATGGGAGGGGGGGGATGAGGAGGGAAGCAGGAGGACGAGATGAGACAATGAGGAAAAGGTGGGCGCGGCCCTCCCTTCCCCTCCCACCGCCGCAGGAGAGGCCCGAGGCGGTGCTCAGCGCCTTCGAGGCTTCGGTGCTGACGGCGCTTTCTGGCGCCTATGCCATGCGCGACCTCGGCGGCAAGCTGGCGGCGGGCCTCCGAAGCAGGCCCTGGCTTCGAATCGCCGGGGGGCGATCAGCATCCCTGTCGCGTGCACTTGCAAGGCCAGTTCGAGCGGAGCGGCGCCGCTCTGCTGCGCGACGCGCCTCGGGCGCAGGGGGCCCGGCGGCAGAGGCCGCTAGGGCTTGGGCCTGAGCTCAGGGCACTTTCCACCGGCAGCATTGAACGCCCCCCCCCCCCGTCGCAGCGACGCGCGCGCAGGGGGTGGCATGGTGGAGGGAAGTTCCGAGTTGCATATCTTGGCCCCCCTCGGACATTTTGCTGTTTGGTGCCCCCGCGCGAAGAAGCCTCGCCGAGGCGGGATATGCGACGGCGTGCTCGGCAACTGCTGTCGCCCGACTAGGTCGTTGCGCATGAAAGCATTTCATGCGAACGAGGCACGCCCCAACGCAGACCATGCGATCCGCGACGGGCCACAGCAGCACAATTGACACCCAAGGGCTAGGAGGAGGGCAATGAGGGGCGATGGGGGGAATAGGA